AGAAATACGGTTTATGCTGCCCATTTGGATCATCTGAGTCCTTCTCGGGCGAGATTCGACACGGATTAGGGTTGTTCAGTCGATGCAAGACACTTTACTCTGGTTACACTACGGATCTTCCTGGAGTGTTTCGCACTCACACACATCTTGCTTCGGCGGCTTACCTGCTATCACGGGACGAACCAGGGAAATTCAAGCTGCTTCCTGCGTTCACCACAATCTACTCTTCACAAGAATGTTCAGCATCTTCATATATTCAACCTGCTATGGTAGTCTTCCTTGACTTGAAGGTTGCCTTTGATTTGTTTGTTCACATCTGTTTGTGATGCCATCTATTTACGGAGCCCGTTCCTGATCTTTCTTTCGCACACCTTCAGTAGTCATTTGGGAATCTCCAGAAAGCTCCCCTGACTTTCCCACGGCAACTAAAGCTGAGCAGCGTCACTCTGTATGTCGCCGCTCTCAATATCTGATTTGTAAAACGGTGGGACACCAATCTGCACATGCACGCATGCTAGATTGTTTGGCTCTGCAACTCTGGAATATGTGACTCGCAGAAAATAGTCAGCACCTCGGACGCTGGGCATCCAAAAGTTTGTCTGACTTGTTGGACCCACCTGAATTGTTAGTTACGATCATCACTGTGACCGAACAGGCATCTAACCCATAGCAAAAATGGGCTCTACTAGCTTGTACTGTAATTTTCTGTGTTCTGTAGACTCATAAAGTAGATTAGTCTTTTATCGACGGGCGACACGTGGTCCATACCTAATTAACCGGTGCCATTCATCCCATAATGTCATCCGGCAATGGGCTTATCTGGGACGCTACTGGTGCCTACGTTCACAGCAAACTTATTCTTACGCATGAATACGACGAATTCTCTACTCACCGCCGAAACAACACATTATCTAGATGGTACACCATGGTCCGTTGAGCGATTCAGAATTAGTTCATGTTGATTTGGGTGGGGGGTATCATTTTTGGTAATCCGAAGATGCTCACCCACTGAACTGGTTGATCTTGCAGCTTTACAGAATGATAGTCACTCACGTGTGTAAGAGTTGCTGTCAAGCTAGTGGCGTTCTATAGACAACAAAAGGTTCCTTGCCTGTTTGTTTAGATTCCACTGGCCAACACGAAGGGCTACCTCCTCAGTTTCGCCCACACTTCCACACCCCATCTGATCGCGTGCCGATACGGCTTAAAAACAAGTAAGGCATCACCGCGCTAATTCATCTTCAGGGTTATTGTTACATATATACAGAATGGACATTTCAGCCATCCGCGTAGGGGTGGGCATCCTCGCGGTATACTCAGCCCGCGCTCGACTGGTGGTGGTCGCGCGGCAGCGATGCGCCGTTACGGCGTTTAAGCTGATACGTTTCAGCCATCCAACGGCGGTGTTCGCATCAACAGAGGTATACTACCGACCATCTCACCACCTTTATATTTATTACCTGTCTTTTAATCTCTTGTTGGTCGCCTCCTTCACGTTCGTCTAATGCTACCCCAAATGTTTCCATAACCCAATCCATGTACTACTGAATGCTGCTAGGCTCAGGTTCGATAACCATTAGCATGGGAAAACCAAATTTAACTTAGCAATAACCTGCACAGCAGTGGAGGATGGGCCGGACTACATCGCAATTAGATTTCAATTCGTAATAGTCGGCTGTCCTCCCTCCTGGCTCAGGGCCATAAACTGCTGGCTAGTTGGCGTTAGCCTCTAGCGGTCATGGGTTCGATCCCCAGTAGGGAACCGATGGATGCGCACCACTGACGAGCCCCAATAGGGCGGAACGCGCATCTGGTGCTTTTCCGGTTTGGTAGCTTACCTATGTTGCTTGCAATCTAATTACCATGAACCAAATCGAATCATACCCTGATCTGTCTACTCATTAGTAATCAAGTTTAACTTCCTACAAGCCTTGTTTTCTCATTATCTTTCGTATTACGATTAGTTTCCACTGGAAATCATGAAAATCGCGTTTACAGGACACAACTTAGAAGGTGTGGATCTGCTCCCAGTAGAACAACTTCTTGACTTAGCATATGCGGATGATATTGCCCTAATATGTGACAGCTCACAAACATGCCAAGCGGCACTAGACAGATTAGCACTAGCTGTCCGTCACTTCGGACTTTGCTTCGCACCCTCGAAGTGCAAAACGTTCCTCCAAGATTGGCCTAGCCCGCTTCCTACGCTGACCCTTGGTGGGGATCAGCTAGAAGTCGTTCAAAAATTCAACTACCTTAGAAGTTGTATCAGCGCCCGTGGGATTAAAGATGAGATCACGAACCGTATAGCAAAAGCTCGGGGCGCTTCTGCTCACCTTGGCTACTTTTGGCGGCGGCGCGACATGACTCGCCCTGAAGGGTAGAGTGTAAAATGCAGCGGTACGTTTGACCTTACTGTAGAGTTGCGAAACCTGGCCCCTAAGATCAGCGGACATCAAGAGGCTAGCTACGTTCGACCACCGGTGCCTTCGCAGTTTGGCTCACATCTGGTGTGAACACCGCGTGAGCAACGAGCGTGTTCGACGCCTTGTTTACGGCACAGGAAATGGAAATGAACCGCTCAGCACCGTTATTTCACGCACCAGGTTCCGATGGCTCGGCCACGTGTTGCCCATGCCAGCCCAACGACTTCCTCGACATGCGTTGTTTGCGCGCCCGGGGGGGTGTGGATGGAAGACGAGGAGGGGTGACCAAGCGATGACCTGGTCGAGAGGAATGAAGGCCCTCACTTCGAAGCTGGCCTGGGTTGGAGCATCTCGGTCTCTGGTTGGGATCCGAAAGACGAGGAACACGTTTGGCTGGATACACTAACTGAAATGTCTAGGAGGCAACTTCAGTGGCGTTGGTGCTATGAGTTTCTTTGTTCCACCCCATCCCTCTTAACTTCCCTCTCCAACCACAATCTCCCTATTTTGCCTTATATAATTTAGCATAATGTTTTTTATTTTCATCATCATCATACACGTTAGCCGGAGGTGGGGAACACCTCAACTACTGTGCCGCAATACAGAGAAAAAGGAGAGAAAAATGCGAACTGGTGCGAGCCGGCTGAGCTACCGGTAACGGATAGGCATCGTTCTGGTAAGCTACCAGCCGGCTACTGTGCATCAAAATAAAAAGATTGCTATGCAAAATTATATAACGCTAAATAATGAGATCGTGTTTGGAGGGGGATGCTAAGAGGGATGGGGTGGGACAAAGAAACTCACAGCACGAACGCCATTGAGGTCGGCTTCTTGCCATGTCAGCAAGTGTATCCAACCAAACGTGTTCATCGTCTTTCGGACCCCAACCAGGGAGCCGAGACGCTCCAACCGAGGCCAGCTCAGAAGTGAGCTGGCATAGTAGCTGGCAGGTAGCTTACCGGAACGATGCCCATCCGCTACCCGTAGCTCAGCTGACTTGCACCTGCTGCGTATTTTTCCTTTTTTCTTCTATGCATTGCGGCACAGTAGTTGAGGTGTTTCCCACCAATAGCTAACGTGTATAATGATGATGATGAGCTTCCACTGGGACCATCTAGCATCGCGATCGCACATCATTCGATTTACCTGTATTGTCCAACGTATCCACTCTTTTTATTCCATTCGTCCATTTATTGGACTTCGAACACTCGATGCGCTGCTAAGTGAAGTGTGTGTACAATTCTCATTACGAATTTGTCCATAAGTTCTGTAATCTGGCTTACTTCAGTGGCCGAATTTGTGAACAGTCGCCGTGAACATGTTGGCCAACAGACTCAGACAGACGGACAGCCACCACACATCCAGGAAAGCGGTAGACAGCCGTTTCGTCTTATTGGGACTCGTCAGTAGCGCGCACCTGCCGGATTCGAACCCATGACCTTTATCTTACGAGTCAGCGCGACCAGTGCCCATGAACCGTGGGTAACGGCAGTGGACCGCCATGACTGATATCCAACCGCGAGATAACGCGGCTCATCCTCCCCTATTATGCATGTTATGAAAGTGCAGAGAACAGAGTTGGCTTCCAGAGCAACGGCTTTCTTTGCAAACCGCCACCAATCGAGGTGGCATGTACGCTGCTAAGGGGATTACTGTTTATTAGCGAGTAGTAAGGGAGTTTTGGGGGCTTTTTGTAGCTCCGTCGACCACGAATCACCTTCTCCCACGGCTCAGTGGCATAGATCACTGGCTGGCACAAGTATGATCGTTTGTTCGAATCCGGCAGGATTCGACGGGTACGCGCTCCTGACGAGTCCTAATAGGACCAAACTGCCGTCTTGCGCTTTCCTGCAGGTGTGGTGGCTGTTTGTGTAAGTCTAATAAACCCCTTACTACTCACTATGGTTGGCAAACTTTTGTTAGCTTGACTATGCTTAAGCTCTTAAGCGGAACGTTCGTACCAACGCCTTGTCTCATTTTAGCCCGTGAATTCAATAGTTACTGGATATCGTCTTACATTTCCCTTAGATTGAATTACCTAGCCACTTTTTAACTTCGTGTATTTTTATATGATGCATCGTTGATGCCTTTGTTCACTGTGTAAGTCAACCCGAGCTTATCAACCTCGGAACCGGCAATTTTCCGCCATTGATCATAACTATTGCAGTTTTTCTTCCTGAGTGAGAGTGCAATCGTAACACCTCTAGCATCCTTTTGAATGAGCTGCTCCCATCGCCCTCTACTGCTTACCTTTGCGCCTGCTTCGTTTGGACTGGCGCCTCGGGTCTAACGTATCAGTGAACTGACAACGTGCTCCCTCAATCGACATCTTTCACGGCTATGACTGTCTTCATATTAAGCCCTAAAATACCCACCTTCGGACACCACTTCTTATTGCTTAAACGTATTCACTATGCTCTCTGTCTCTCTGTGTATTTGAAACGCGCGTTCACGCAATTACATCTGTATTCCCGTTTGATCTGCTGACAGATCATCTGTGCTCTGACCACCTTACATCCGTTTTATTTACGTGTTTCAACTTCTTTAGAGCCCATTTACCCTTTTCTTTCGCAGCGTGAAATGTGGCGAGATGGAGTACTACGACAAGTCGTACGACCGGGTCAGCACTCGTAACGAACGTCCCCTCGTGCGAGTTAACCGCGTCACACACACGGTGTCGACAATGGATGACCCGATCATTCGTGATTTGGCCAAACAACACGCTGCTCGAGTGTACTGCACAGACTCCATCGCATCACGCATCATGTGTTGCACGCGGTCAGTGAATCCATGGGACTTGGTATTTACACGGGCGGATGACCTTCTCTTCATCGATGAGCGCGAGAAATCGGAACTCGGTAAACTGGAACGTTTTTTAATCTCTTTGAAAGTAGTCAGTAACCGTCGTTTTACCGTCGAATCAAACTTCCGTTTACATTAGCATTGGCGTTTTACGAATTACATCACATTTTACGCGGTTCCCCTTTCAGCACTTTTAATAATACCTTGAACTTATTATATTACTGATAAGAGTCTCCCAGGATTGTCATGCCTTGGGCGTATGATAAAAAGCATAAAAAGGCAAAAGGCACCAACAGTACGCAGTACCAACGCTTCGCTGCCGCGCAACCACTACCAGCCGCGCGTGTGCTAGGCTCGCCCGCAGGTTCGAACCCGCGCCCTCAGATTACAAGGCAGACTTGTGATCTTTGAGACTATGGGCCGGCGAGCATGAAAAGCATTACTTTCGATAAGAATTCAGACGTTGACTCACTCCGTAACAATACATGTCTTACTACTCGAACCTTGCTGCTACAACTTCACATACACCGTTTCTATTTTCACTAACGGAAGCTGTATGGCGTCTTGTATCCTAGCGATGATCCGCCGCTTCATCTTTGTCTATAATGTCTCCAGTGTACACAAAACAGCCGGTTACTTTCTCCCACTTGTTTCTCTTACTTTGTCTGCGTTGGGGTTTTTCTATCAATGCAACCAGCAGGCCACACAAACCTAATACCTCTTTCACTTTCATCTGCATCTCTCGAAAGTGTGTATACCCCTGTCCGACGGGAACCCTTTCGGGGAGCGCATCACTTTGATGGCTAATCATCACAATATTATTGCGCTCATAGGCGGTCCGAAGAATCCTGTAGCTTTCAGAAAATCATGATAAAGTATGTGCAGTGATCACATTTATTTTGTTCATGATACCTAGAAACATTTATACTCCGCGGATTTTCACTGCTTACCTCTCATTGTCGCGTCTTCCACTGCCTATGCTCATTAGCCAACACATACCATTCATTCGCTGCTCGCTCCATCCTAGTTTTGCTGCATGTATGGCCACGTTGACTTGGGCTCCTGCTTAACTGCGCCAGTTCTCCGCCGCCCGTATGCCATGTATGTCGGCGCGTAGCCTAAAGGTAATCAGTTTGTCTCGTAATCTTGCGGCGCCGGTTGGAATCCGTGTAGGGTGGGCCTCATCGCGATACACTCAGTCCTCATGCGACTGGTGGTAGTCGCACGGCAGCGAAACGCCGTTACGGCATACAGCTGACAACTTTATTATTATTATTATTATTATTATTATTATTATTATTATGCCCTGTGCGATTCTGTTCGGCTCGTCTGGGTACCAGTTCATTCACCTTGTCCATGAATGTTTCATGAGTAATCACAAAATGCTGTGGACTCCGAGCAGCAGACATTGAGCAGTACTTGAGCTTCGCATACCAATTTTGCTCGGTCTCATCTGGTGGTCGGGTTCATTTTTCCTACAATCCCTCCTGAATGGGCTAGTGGCGAGATTAGGCAATTGATTGTTACTTCTTAACTTGCAGTACTCGCCCGCGATTCGACTGGTGTGCTATTTGCATTCGTCTTTGAACAATCACTGCAATTGCTGGACTGGTTGGATTGTCTTCGCCGTAACATCACATGTACCGGTCAGACCGGTGAAGGCTATTGTGCGCATTGTAAGGTACGAGGACCTGCACAAGAAATAACCGCCCGATGAAGATGAACACCACCTCTTTGTCTTCAGCACCACATAAGTGGAACGTATGATATTACAAAATGGCCCGGGCGGGTGGTTTACGCTCCGACTGAGGGTGCGTTCACAAGGCTATTATCTTCACCATACTCGGAACGTCACCGTACTTGCAGACACCAAGGCACAGAAACCATCCTCGGGTTTGTGGCTTATCTCTGATTCGACTCATTGTATCTATTCATAGCGACTCCTAGTCTTTTTCTCTGCTACGAGCAATGTTTCACTACCATCAATGCTCGAACACGAGGTTTCGCTTAATCTCACCTGTACACAGTAATCACGTTTGTAATTCGGTCAATGATATTAACGCACTACAACGTTGCAACTCCTTGTACACATCTTGACGTCTCCATAATAAATGATGAGGCTCTTGAAAATCCGCAAATTTTATCAATGCGTTCAACAGTCTCTTCAGTCCCAAGACTACCAGAGGCAGTACAGCTACGTAGGAAAGTAAACTGAATCACCATTCCAAGCGATTGTTCCATATTAATGAAAACTGTTGAGGTGTTGCTTTGCACAGCGCATTGCTACAGCTCAACCTGTTCAACGATACGTACGTTGCATCTGGATCCCTAACCCAAAGATAACTATGTCGTTCGCCGGTTGCCGGTCACCACACAACACCTCACCCTCATTAAAATGTATACGTTGTAAAAGAGTCGTTCATGATCATTTTGATCGCAAACTTGAGAACATAGGGAAAGGCGTAACGCCTATTGTGGTTTTCGTCCAGAGCTACAAGTTTCAGCAATCTTTGGATAGGGAGGAATATCTCCGATACTCTCTTCAAAGCCATGTGTCGTCGCAAACCTTTGCAATCGACCTTACAAAGGTATTTTTCAAACCTACCGATAGTTTCCATGCTACGCGCTATGCATGTGCAGTGAGGTTTGGAATCGAGTTAAGATCAAGCGCACGGTCAACGCATTTTTTAAAGTTTCATTCTTGTAGTACTCACGACAATGAGCTGGTGTGCATCTTCTTCGGGTGTCTATTCCTTACACTGCCTATCGTGTACCTTACGGTGCACAAATTGGCCTCCGGTTTGATCGATATATTTGATGCCACGACGGGGATAATTCACCCAATCGGCCAATTCCAGTGCGTGTTCGAGGATGACGAACGCAGGGGGCGAATCGCTCCAGTCCCGCGTTAGCGCTGCACTTTTTCACACGTACAAACCATGTGTTCACGCATTCCGCCCGCCACCAGCCCATTCAGGAGGGATCGTACAAGGAATGAGACAGAGGGACAAGGATATGCGAGGCTTCATTGCTTTTGCTCCTTTCAACGTCTCTTTCGCCTGCGTTGGTTAGACCATGTCCTCCGTATGTGCCGATTAATCGATTTCCTCGGCGTGTATTCTACGCCGTGGCAGCACCAAATTAGGCGAAACCGCGAGGTGGCCAGTTTATGTCATGACATAGCAGCTTGAAGACATTGATTATGAGACTTGGTTAGGCTGGCACATGCTGTCTTCGTGGATGCGGGACTCGAGATGGTCCACTCTAATGGTTGGACATCGTATCAGATGTGGCGCACTTGTGCGGTCAGTCTTTCCTGCATTCGGTTTCTTGCACCTGGTTCCTAATTTTCGCTCCATTCTAATTAACGCATTTCCTTCTTGCTTATCTATTTATTCTTTTCGCACCCAAACTCACTGTTGCTATTTACTGGTATTCTCACTGGGTGAGTCGTCGCAACTGGGCACACTGCACTTCTGTGCTTGAATCATAGTTGTTCAACTGAACGGAACTGAACTTTAACCCCTTTATGGGCGAATCAATATAACAACACTACTTTTTGGATATTTGCACTCAACTTTTGAACACGCACCTCTCTAAGAACTGGAATAATCATCTGTCAACATTTTATAGTCATACATGCGAGCGTGGGTGGTTTCGATTACTCAGGGCATGCAGAATGTGATGACCTGGTGGTTAGCTTTTTTCATCCACTATGCACTCGTTGTTCTCTTGTCCTCATTGGCACCCGCAGTCCAACTCAGAGTACATGGTATGGTCTGAGTACCGGCAGTCGGTGGACACACTGCTTAACTGTCAACAACCTGACACCAAATCCCATCTGGAAGAGTTAAGAACAACGATCTCATAGTCCCTGGATCTCGGCCCGTAGCGTAGAGGTAGCGAGCTTGTCTCGTAATCTTGCGACGCGGGTTCGAGCCTGTGTAGGGAGCGGACGACCCTCTTAGTATCCTTAGCCCACGTGCAACTGGTGGTAGTTGCGCGACAGCGAAGCGTCGGTACTGCGTACCAGTGTACTGCTGATGTCTTTTTTATAGTCACCAGATAAAAAAATCGAGAGGGGGTTAGAAATAAGCAGCCGAACCCAGAATCATCGCTGAACGCTCCGCCCGTGCGTATAGAAATCCTCACGGCGACGTCACTGGAATGATTTGCTGATCACCACCCTTCAGTTTTCCATCAGGTCTTCACCAAGCACCTGACCATGGCAGATCACTACTCTGCATTACGCCACTAACTTCGTGTCTTTGGCATTCTTGAGTTGGCCTTCTGACGCTTCTGTTTGCCTATACCACTACGTAGACAGCATTTGGCGCAATGAGTTCGGAATATCCGTTGTGTGAGTGGTAGCCCTCCGGGAAGCAAGCAGACTGGGCCGCGATCACTAAGTCGTTTATTAAGATTACGCTCGAATATTTATAGAGTATATACACTATTTGCAACAGTCGGTCTCAATGGCTCATCCCTGTTATTTGCATTGTGTCGATGACCCCCTTTCCATTGGTTTATGCTTACTCGCGACGTTCACTCTGTCTAAATCACCTTGGCTTTCTTAGTCGATGTACGATTGACGGGATTGGGCCCGCGAGCTTCTTCCCTCGGTCCAATGCCACAAGCCTTGGCTCAAGGGTGCACGAAGATGCGCTCCTTCGTCTGCTGGCGCCTGATTGGGTCACTTGCACGTTCAGTGGATAGTTGCATGGTGGTCACGATTACGGGCCAACTATTTCCTGATTGGCTGATCAATCTGCTTCCGACCACATGCTCACTCCTCATCGGGCTGGCCTGTGACGTTCGATCGGCATTATAGCATTTCCAATCACCAGCATTTCAAGCTCCCATCACAGATCTCTCCACACGCAACCTCTCAATTTGGGCCACCTTTCAGTTCGAAGTATACCTCTGTCGCCGTTCCACGACGATGTGATTGAGCTCTGCGCGCTCAACCCTTTCCACATGGATTAAGAATTCATTGTTGGCTTTTGAAATACGCATCGTGTGTGTTTGTGTTGCGATTTACGCAACCTCGTTTTGG